CTACCAATGCAGCGATTAACGACTAAAAACATTTGACTGAATTTTAAATAAGCTGCAATACGCATATGTACACGGTGTAATAATACCTACATATTCAGACAAAAACTAACAACAATAACAAAATCAATCTAATTAAATGTCTGTTGAAACCGTTTACTGAAGAGTTTATTGAAGAGAAACCGTTTACGTTTTCTCAATCTCAAACACCCACATGTAGTGATAAGTTAAAGCTAATTCCATTAAATAATATACTCAATAGAAGCTAAAGAAGAGATAAGTCATTGCTGTTGAAAAGAAATATTGCTAATTAAGTTTTTACATATTTTTGGACCTAATTTTCTCGATGTTACAGCAACAAATGTTTTTATCTAACACGGAAATTAGTTAAGGACACATTGTACCGTAGTTTTCCACGAGGAAACATGTTTAGTTAATTAATTGTAAAACATTATTGTATTGATTTACAATATTGTTACGCGCCGGGGTTCGAATTAAATAAAAAGTTCCCCCAAAGTACAAATTAAAACTGTATTACTGAACTGTATCACAGAACACTTTAAAAATCTTAATTCATCTCTTCCGCCTCGCTTCAGGTGATCCGTTTCCTGTTTCGCTTCGAGTAGTTCCGGTTACTGCTTCGTGCCATCTCTACAACGCTTTTATAGTCGATATGACATCCCTAGAATTTTTTATTTATTTTTTTATTGCTTAGGTTCGGTAGGCAGCGGCTTGGCTCTGCCCCTGGCATTGCTGAAGTCCATGGGCGACGGTAACCACTCACCATCAGGTGAGCCGTATGCTCGTCTGCCTACAAGGGCAATAAAAAAAAAGCTTAGATGGGTGGACGAGCTCACAACCCACCTGGTGTTAAGTGGTTACTGGAGCCCATAGACATTTACAACGTAAATGCGTCACCCACCTTGAGATATAAGTTGTAAGGTCTCAAGTATAGTTACAACAGCTGCCCACCTTTCAAACTGAAACAATTATTGGTTCACGGCAGTAATAGGGTGGTGGTACCTACCCGTGCGACTCACAAGACGTCCTACCACCAGTAATTGCGCAAAGTATAATTTTGCGGGTTTGATTTTTATTACACGATGTTATTCCTTCACCGTGGAAGTCAATCGTGAACATCTGCTAAGTTCGTATTGCATTATAAAAATTGGTACCCGCCTGCGGGATTCGAACGTCGGCACCGTCGCTAGATACGAATGCACCGGACGTCTTATCCTTTAGGCCACGACGACTTCAAAAACGTAGCTTAGTTTATGCAAGACGATGCAATAAATAAAAAAAAGTGAATAGGTTTTTTTTTTCATTTTAATGTCCCCTCGTATCATAAAAACAGATAGTGACATACAAATTTCCAGCAAGCAGACGCTTATGACTATATTAGGTCCTCCGCACACACACATGACGACCGTTCGAAGCGATTTTCAAATCGAAGAAAACTTTTTTTATTTCAAGACAAAAATTCATCAGAATCCTAAATACTTTTTGAATAAATTTAGAAGTTAGATAACGCAGTTTTTTATATGAGGCGATCTTGACGCTCAAACACGTGATGTTTTCTTTATAGAAGTCTATCCGGTCAGTAGACACGGGCTTGCGAAACCCGGTGCTCTCTACTTGTTGGCGCTTAAATAATTTATAATTCTGGTACATATTATATATAATCACTATATAATCGATCTCCACCGCTTCGACTTCCAGTGCGGTATTAATGATGAGAATTTTTGTGGGGATGAGAAATAATAATGTTAATGTATAATAATGTAAATGTCCCGCGAACCAGACGGGTACAGCTAGTAATACAATAAAAATAATAAAAGCCTTTTATTTCATACAAGTGACATCAAACAAAAATTAACGCTATGTGATCTATGAGATTAGTTAACTAATAAATATCTTTGTTGAATAATAGTAGGTAGTATTTCCCACTAGCAAGAACCCCTCCTCGGGTAAAGGCCTCCTCTAAGGATAATCAATCTTGTCTAGATTGGGCGATTTTAACCCAGTTTAATCCTTTAGAATGCGTAAATAAAATTCCCAACTACTTCCAAGATCGCAACGTGATCCATAAGTCCACCAGTGGTTAGCGACACCGCGAGTTGGCCCCGGTAACTATCCTTTTATTTACGTTGGGCAAACCCAATTTACGGATATCCGGACGATGAGGATTAGGTCAGGTTATGTCGGACTCCAAGATGACTGCCGATTAAGCCTTAGCTCTCTTTAGACGTCCGATCCCGCCTGAGACGGAACTCGGATGAGGGTAGGAGAATCCCACGGACAATATTATCACTAACGCGCGCTCCTCTCGATGGAGTAAGTATTACTTGCCTATTTCTACCGTAAAGTCGCTAAGCGTTCCGGCTTTAATGGAGAGTCGTTAAGACTGTGAAGTAGTGTCTCGTGGTGGGGATGGTATTGGCGTCGTGGTGGCTCTTTGATGAATTGTTTTTTTTAACTCTAGTAAATGAGGTTAAAGAAATAATCAAAAGCACATTTACGACTAAATCTCGCCTATATTCAATAAGTTTACGACATTTTCAATCACTCACCAGACGCGGATTGAATCGTAAAAGTGTTATTACAAATATTTGAGACTTTTGACAACCCTAAAAATGAAAAAAAGGCTTCGACCATTTTTGTTATCCATACGAGCGTCGTCATGTGTCTGTGTAGGATCTAAATCGTATCGTTTATTGTGATCAGATACGTGTAGAAAACATAAGGACTATGCACGACCCTTGTACCGTCTCCAACTATTTATTTAAGGCCTGGCCTGAGCCATATCTTATCCATCTTTACTAGTACTACACCTTAATTATCATACTGCGTTCTTTGTTACGAACTGTCCATTAATTTCATTTTATGTCTATTTATTTATTTATTTATTTATTTAAGGATATAAGGAGATAAGGATACGTGAATGCAGAGGGTTTCGACAAAAATTCGGTCGAGCAACGGTCCTGGTGTTATTTTCAGATTCAAGCATCTCTCCAGTATTGCATGATAGCCAGATTCAATCTGTCAAATATGTTGTATTCCATGATAACTACGCTACAAAGTTTTCAACCAGGGAAACTTTTTCTGTACTAAATATATAGCAAAGTCATAATTACAGCTACTTAGTTTAATTTAAACTAAATAATGTTAGATTTCTTGTTATTAAGCTGGTTGTTGAAGAGTTTGTTAATATTTAAATCGAAGTATGTTTTATTTTTATTTTTATGTTTTTATGTTTATTTCACCTGGTGTGAAGTGGCTACCGGAGCCCATAGACATTTACAACGTAAATTCCGCCCCACCTTGAAATATGGCTCTAAGGTCTCAGTATAGTTACAACGGCTGCCCCACCCTTCAAACCGAAATGCATTACTGCTTCACGGTACCTATCCATGCAGGTTCACAAGAGGTCCTACCACCAGTATGTACGGTATCTGTGATGAGAAAGCGTCGACAAAATAGCGCCTTAGAATAAATAATTTCACTCCTGTCTAATGAACCATTACAGCCGATTATATATAAATTGTTAGCGACTATTGTTACTCCCAGAAATATATCTACAGATAATTTAGAAGAAGTGAAGGTCGTAAGTGAATAATCGATGTTATTTAGATTACTTTACGACGATTAAGTTTTTACAGATTCAAAAATCCCACATGAAACTATGGTCTTGTTTAAAGAATATAATGAAAAATTTGGTAATGAGAAAACAATTTATCGCCTGATAAAGTTCTCATAAGCGGTGATATTTTTTTGGAGCTTAAGAGTTCACTAAGCAAGTGTTAAATACAATTTTTATTTTGGACATAAAATTGAACTCATTTTCATTTCAATGCGTTCTCTTTGTCACGAGAACTTTGCTTCTTCATTGATAAATAGATTTTGATTTTACTTCCTGGCTTCTAATCTTTCGAATTGGAACACATTAGTAGTTAGATTCCTTAGTACAAATATAGTGTAGGGGAATGATACCCCGCCCCATTTAGCTACTATGCGGTTATAGTAAGCAGCTAAGCGGGGCGGGGTATCATTCCCTTATACTATATTTGTACTAAGGAATCGAACTGTTGGACTACATATTATTATTAAGATGGGTAGCAGATTTCACTTTTTCGTGTCCGTACTTAGGGACTTCGGTAGCATTGTTAGTTTTTTTCTTTTTCTTAGATAGTTGGACGAGCTCACAGCCCACTTGGTGTTAAGTGGTTACTGGAGCCCATAGACATCTACAACGTAAATGCGCCACCCACCTTGAGATATAAGTTCTAAGGTCTCAGTATAGTTACAACGGTTGCCCCACCCTTCAAGCCGAAACGTATATGCCTGCTGAGCCTTAGACTGCTATATTATGTTGTGTGGCCATTTTTGTAGCTTTAATCGTTGTGAATAATAATATAGTAGTCTTCAATTCAGCAACGGGATTCTATGTAATTGGACAGCACGTAAATAGAACGCAATATTAGCGCATTATCTACAATATTTTACGAAGAATTAGATTTGTTGAGAGAAACATTTAACGAGAAACTTAAAACAAAACCAACATCAGGTACATCAGTCCAAAACTAGAATAAAAAATATATTACACAATCGATTGTTATCTAAATAACAAAAAATAAATTTTACTTACATATTTCTAAATTATCCAAAATTATGCAGATTCAACAAGTTACATAATAACATATTTTTTTATGATAATTCTTTAAAGTACTATCTAAGGTTTCTAGACATTTTTGTTTTAATGGTCGGTGGAGCTAACTTAAGCGAAGCAGGAGTTAAAATTTCCCGAGAAACCTCTGTATGTACAGACGTAACGAACGAAAGGAAAACGCCGTATCTGTTAAGATAATTTGTTTTTTTGTTTTAAGTAAAATTATCTATTGACTATAGTGTGTAATAACGATCTGTATTAAAAACAATTTGGGAAGACGAAGACATTGTAGGAAAATAAATAACCAATTACCTATTACAATATATACGGCGCATATAATAATAAATTGTAGAATGACCAATAAATTATTAAACAAACAAAGCTTAGCTGCTCCACCTCATCCTAAAAGCTCAAGCGCTTTCATTTATTACAATAATTTTCAACAGCGGGAGCTCAATGGTATAATCTATTGCGTTTACAACACTACTTTTAAATCGTGGTGTTTCCATAGGGGTCTTCTGTGTGCTTCTGTCTTAACTTAACCTACCAAATGTCCTGAAATTCATCAAATTGTAGACAAATTTCGTCGAGATTCGATGATCACTCACGGGAATAATTCGATTGGTTCAATGTCTGTCAGCCTACATCCAGGCAATAGCTGGGGATCCGTCCGAAGACAAGGAGTCTAAGGAACGGCGAAGGTGCGCCGTCTTCGATCGAGCCTGCTGTCAGTACAGCGAGGAGCTTGAACAGGGCCCGTCCACTCCCTGCAGCTGCTGCTCAGGGTTCGATAACAACTGTAATTAACATTAATAGTTGTACAACCGGTCACCGAGTCCCAGAATCATAAGTTATTGCTGGTAATTCTAGGAAAAACACAATAATTTTTGGATCGTGTCAAAGTTCTAGGTGAATTCTTTGAAAACATATAGAGGTTTTACATTCACAAATGAATAGACACACACATTTAGGAATAAATTGTTCCGTTTTCTTGAGTTTTAAAAGGGAGTGTTAAAAGATGGGTGTGCTTAGAAATCGTAAAAGTCCACAAAGGATAGGAAGTGGATGATCTTACTTCTCTAATTTCACATACAGACGGTAGCAGTCCATCTGTGGAGTTGTTAGGCGAGCGTGGTGATGGTGTTGGGGCATGCTTAGGAACCTCGCGGCCCGCAGACATCTTGTCGTGCAGCTGAGCAAGTCGCATACTCATCTGACGTCTTTCTTTCTGTTCTCTTTCTCTCTCCCACCTCTTCGCACTGTAACTCCTTATCGACGATGTGCTGCTCTGCACTGAACTTAAACTTGGACGTCGCGAACCTGCGACATAATGTACCATATAATTTGTCTGCTTCTAATAATTTGGTGTGATTGCATTGCTAGTGATTTGTGACGCAGTGTACAAGCGGATGTTGAATTTGGAAATATTTGTACTAGTGGTAAACAAATATTTGTAATATTTGAGGTACTGGATTTAATAATCTCTGGTGTCGAAGAGGCTACTTTAATTGCTTAAAAGTTTTTTAATTGGTATTTAAAAAAATGTTACACGGTTTTCACGGGAGAAATGCTTAGGATCGTATTATTATACTGACGAACAAATTGGATTTTGGTAAATACCAGATTTTCCCAAACGACAGACAGCACCAAATTGTGTCTTTATTTCAAATTTTCTAAATAATTATAAAAGTGAGTAATCGAAAAATAGCCTTAAACTATATTGAAACAACAACATATTACATCGTATTGAATTGAACGATTGCGTATTATCAAATGGATTTTCTTTTAAAGTATACTAATTACATTTTGCTACTCTGACTGCACACAAATCTAATTATTACTGCAATCATATACATACAAATATTCGAAATATAAGTGGTATTAAAATTATATTGAAAATAAAAGACAGTACATTTATTTGTTTTGCAGGTTTACATAGACGATATATGATATTTGCAAACGCTTTCATGCACGCCAAATAGTACAACGAAAAGCGTGTAAGCAACGTGCACTGCTCAGGAAACTGAAGTTTCTATTGAAAATCTTTGTCTGTTAATTGTACTATTTAAAAGATTTACTAATTTAATACTATTTACTGTTTAGTTATATATTTTGGTCCCGCAGTAGGACGATCAAAGTCAAAATTTAATCCTTTTTCACATTACTACTAAAGAGAAGTTTATGTTTATATCGATGATTTATTCGTGGCTTGGTACAACCACGATTAGTTGATAATGGATTTAATATATGTGTCTTATATTATGTTTCTATCACGCTAAACATATGACAACCAGATGTATGTTCAAAGTCGTGACGGTGAAAGCTAAAATTTTAATGTATACATACTTTACAGAGTTATGGTGCACGTAATGTTGTAATCTTCAGTTTCATTAGCACACATACATAAAAGGCGTGATAAATAGATACAAAGGAAGGACCACGGCCATCTTGCTCGCTCCGCTGATTGCACATTCTTATTTTTCGAATCTTGAAAGCCCATTTGCCAATAAGCTCACATAAAGCTGTACTTACAAACAACCAATTTATTGATGTTTTCCATATATGCCACCTTTGGGGATTCAAAAAACAAGAAATACATAATAATTAAAAAAGCTATCGTATTACGACGTTTATAAAATGAATTTCAATTATTAGGTTATTATTGAATTTAGCATTGGGATAATTTTGAAAATTAACAACCACATTTTGATACCACGATGTAAGTCTTATAACAAAATTCTGAAAATTGAGCTGGAGCTACAGTTAAGATATTTCTGACATAATTAATTGCCTTACGTGAGTATTTAGTTGAGTTCGCGGTTATCGTTGGGCTTGGGGACTTTTATTTGTATCCCGTGAGCGATGTTTCGCGCGCTGGTGTAATTAATTTTTAGCGTGTGAAGGGCCCGGGAGATGCGGTCCCGCGCTGACTTGTAGCCATGATTACAGTGTTGGGCTCAGAGTGGCATATTTGGAGTTACACCGTCCCCACGAGCAGTCGCAGGCTGGCGTCAGTCCCTGTCACTAACACCAAACGCAACATCTAACGGACACGGGCGGCGCGCGGCGACACATGCGTCCGTCTCCACTCCTATACCGATCCGGTCGCTTCACAGTTGAAAAGTTACATTCGAATGTGGATTTTGAACGTTTTAAATGACGGAGGTTTCGAAGGATAACATAATTTTCTAAACGATTATTCATGTTTCTTATATTTGAAAGAAGTCTTTATCTATAATGCTTTGAAGCGAACGGAATCAGTGTATTCATGTAGACGAACCTCGTGCGCGTCCGTCCGAACACCGAGACGTGCAAATGACGGGGCCCGCGCTGCATACATCATCCAGTTCACCTTTGGCGGCGCACCGAGGCGGGTGCGCGCCGCCGTCCCGCCTTACGGCCGCGAGGTGGCGCGAGATGAGCAAGATGGCCGCCTTGCGCGCCGCACCTGCGCGCGATGCTGACACCGGCACCCCCCGTCGCGACCCCCGCCCCGACCCCGCACCCCCGCCGTCGTCCAGCGTGCCGCTTGTACATCCGCTGCGGGACGATGCACGGGACGACGCCCGAGACGACGCACGGGTCGCGCTCAGCGTCCCACCTGCCGACCGACACGCGTCGTCATTCACCAGCCACCACTACGTCACTACACTCATACGTCGGACTTGTTCCTGAAGGGATTGTTCTGTTTTGGTGTTAAGAAATAAAAAAGATAATTACGAATGTTATTCAGCCTTGTCCATTCCTTTTATTAATTTGAAAAGACAACATTGCATGCATACAATGAAGATCTTCATCCATAAATATACCCTAAAATACTTACCAGTGTCGTTGAGAGAATACAAGCAAGGCGGGGTTAGCCTCGCGTCGGCTAGGTGCGTAGGATGGTACCGCGCCTTAGTGTAGAGATGCAGCACCATGCAGAGCAATCCCGCCAACACGAAGATCCCCGACGCCACGCCCAGGAGCGTCGGCATGTCCGCTGTCAGCAACACCATATCTGGAAACAAAAAGACGAATACGTTGTTAAAGGATTTGTTAGTAGAAACACGGTTACGCCGGTAAGAGTAATGTCATCTGTCATCAAATAGCAGAAACGAATATTAAAAGAACTAGTAATATCGAGAACAATAGAGACTTGTAACGCCATCGCCAACACCACGATATTGATTTCCATCTATATACTATTAATTTGTTATTCTATTCTGAATCATCAAATATCTCCTATAAGTGGTCGCGTTTTGGTCGCGTTTCCAGAGGTCTTTTTTGCCACGTACCATCCGGCTATGGAATGAGCTATGACATGTCCTTCTTTAAAAGAGGCTTGTAGAGAGTATTAAGCGGTAGGCAGCGGCTTGGCTCTGCCCCTGGCATTGCTGAAGTCCATGGGCGACGGTAACCACTCACCATCAGGTGGGCCGTATGCTCGCCTGCCTACAAGGGCAATAAAAAAAAAGTGGGGGCAAATGCTGTATTTGCCCTCACAAAAATATTTAAATATTCAAAATCTACTAAATCCGAAAATTAGTATATTTCTTAAGAGAATGTCAGCGTAATCACCTTCAGTGCAGAAGACTCGGTAGGTGGGCCTGGAGTGCGAAGTGCTGTGGTACCCGGGCTCGCATTTGCAGTAAGCGTTGTGATTGACCTGCACACACGACGAATGGGCATCGAAGGCACGACACGTTTGTCTGTAGAAGCACTGCTCGCCAAGTTTCTTCGCTGTAATAAAACAAAAATACAAAAAAATATCTAATAAACTTCCTCTCGTAAGTACTCATAGAAATAATTAAAGGCGTTATTAGGAAGTCGTCGTGGCCTAAAGGATAAGACGTCCGGTGCATTCGTATCTAGCGATGCAACGATGCAACGGTGTTCGAATCTCGCAAGTAGGTACCAATTTTTCTAATGAAATACGTACTTGGCAGATGTTCACGATTGACTTTCACCGTGAAGGAATAACATCGTGTAATAAAAATCAAAACCCGCAGAATTATAATTTGCGTAATTTCTGGTGGTAGGACCTCTTGTGAGTCCGCACGGGTAGGTACCACCACCCCGCCTATTTCTTAGAACTTATATTAGACCTTAGAAATTATATCTCAAGGTGGGTGTCGCATTTATGTTGTAGATGTCTATGGGCTCCAGTAACCACTTAACACCAGGCGGGCTTTGAGCTCATCCACCCACATAAGCAATAAAAAAAAAATATATTAACACCCTTTTATTAGATTCGTTTTTATGTTTGTTTGTATGTAGCAGAATCTTTGAACGTCATTTTCATGGACTCCAATACGTCGGATTAACTTGAAAATTTGTACGTGCATCAAGAATTTTGCATCTTCCCTTTACATTTTCTCAATCTACGGCCTTAAGATTTAAGACATTTTCATAATGTAGGTAAATCGAAGATAAACTAGTAATTTGATGGTTTAGCAATGGCTTTTGAAGAGCTCTTGTCCGTCAGATCCATCATCAGACCAGTTTGGAAGTATACCGTATTAGAAGATTGCATTATATATAAAAATACCGTTATGAGCGTGCGAAACTTATACAAAGGACGTAAAGATATTACCTAAACATGTTTTACTAATTAGACAGTTAGACTTTTGTTAGCAAGGCATGATTAAAATGTCTTGGTAAGACATATTCTTAGTCCGCGATCATACACTACCGTTCAAAAGTTTCGAAGCACTAAGGTAATTTAGACGATGGGCTGACGACATAACCGAAATAATAGGAAAGGACTGGCAAACTGTCGGCAAGGACAGAGACCAGTGGAACGAACTGGAGGAGGCCTTCACCCGAGGAGGGGTCCATATTCAATAACAAAAACTAACTCTTACTAACGTTTAGATAATAAGCATTAACAACTAACTAAACATTAACAAATAAATACCACATTTGAAATGAAAGTTAAGGATAAGGAAATATAGGCTTTTTTATTTTATTTTATAAGGTAATTTAAATAAAAATGTCTCTAAAACACATAACTCATTAATTAATACACTTCAATCTTGATGAAACATCAGACTAAAATATTTTTCATTAAATTTTTATATCTTCAAAATGACTCCTCTAATTTTTGATTATTCGTTCACAAATTTTACTAATTTTTTTGATTAATTTATGTTTTGTCGTCGTACAATATAATTGAGAATTCGACCTCATACCTCAAGGTGGCAGTCGTTTTATAACAACTTTAAGCCGCTGAGTTTTTTGCCGGATTTTCTCGCGGGATCGCGATTTCGGTCCGGTGGTAGATTCTGCGTAGCACTGCCCTTGCTAGGGCTAGTGTTAACAGTTCCTAAGTTCACCCACCCTTCCGCGTGTAGTTGGAATAGTCTCTTAGGCTACCAACGAATAAAAATAACTAACTATCTAACGACAGTTAAGGCATGAGCTGGTCTCAACATCAAAATAAATTAATAAATAATAATTCATTTTTAACCGACTTCAAAAAAGGAGCAGGTTCTCAATTCGACTGTATGTTTTTTTTATGTTCATTACCTCGTAACTTTTGACTGGTTGAATCGATTTTGATGATTCTTTTTTTATTAGAAGGTGACGCTTCCCATGTGGTCGCATTTAGTTCCCAGTTCTGATAATGGTATCCATGAGAAAACCATATAAATCTTAAAATTGCATTAAGTACGTGCGCGACAAATAGATGAATAACTCAATAACTCAATATCACGCCAACCCATTTCGATGATTATATTATTGTTTTTAGTGTATATTAATTTGTTTTGGAATATCTTGTTTTTTCTATTTGAAGTCGGTTTTTGTTAGAGCATGTCGATTTACAATTATGAAAGGTTAAGATGTTGTTAATAATTTATAATTAGTTTTACGTTAACACAGTCGGAGTTTTGTTTGTAACGAACTCTTAAAGCTCTGAGAAAGTTCTAAAAGTCTTTGAGGACTTGTCAAAGGTCTGTTATGAGAAGAACTATCTTGGTGCGCGCTGGCGCGTCGTTATGAGAAATTCTTTTTGCAACTTCATTCATGTGTGTAGAACGTTTTAGAGACTCGTTTAAGAAGGATATTTTGAAAGAAATTCATTTTAGTATCTTGCTCGGTTTTCACGCAACGTGGATATAATTATAATTATTGGTTTTTTTATTGCTTAGATGGGTAGACGAGCTCACAGCCCACCTGGTGTTAAGCGGTTACTGGAGCCCATAGACATCTATAACGTAAATGCCGCCACCCACCTTGAGATATAAGTTCTAAGATCTCAAGTATAGTTACAACGGCTGCCCCACCCTTCAAACCGAAACACATTACTGCTTCACGGCAGAAATAGGCAGGGTGGTGGTACCCGCGCGGATCACAAGAGGTCCTACCACCAGTAATTACGCAAATTTTAATTTTGCGGGTTTCATTTTTATTACACGATGTTATTCCTTTCACCGTGGAAGTAAATCGTGAACATTTGTCGAGTAAGTATTTCATTAGAAAAATTAGTACCCGCCTGAGATTCGAATACCGGTGCATCGCTCAACACGAATGCGCCGGACGTCTTATCCGTTAGGCCACGACGACTTCGACTTATTCAAAATATTTATACGGTTTAATCTCACATTTATTAAATTTCCTTTCACAGTTGTTGTGTTCGTTATTTGTCGACATTAGAATTATGTAGATGCCGTATAACTATAATTATTTAACTTTAAAATTTTGTTGAATGTAATGCTTTGAAATTTACTTTTTTTCCCATTATCTATCATTGGGAGTCTAAAGGGCTATTACAACTTCGCGTGGATCAGAGATATTTATGTTTCTTTGCACACAGATAATTAATTTTCAGATTTATGTTGATATAATTTTGAACTAATAATAATATTGTTCAGTAGTTTTACTCAATATAGTTTACATAGGTTTTATCAGGTTTTTTTTTTCATAGAAGGAATTAATAGTATCTTCAGGTTTGGCACTTTGTTTGATTTGGGTTTTCATCTTCACGATAAGGAGGTCCCAGTGCAAATCAACTTTAATACAAAAGATGATCTAAGTCAATCGTTCAAACCGTTTACGGCTTGAACTGTAAATCTAGTTTTAATTGAAGCCGTCAGCGCAAAAGTGGCCTAAGCTTGTCATGGTTTGTATGTAGGTAATGAGATTTGAATTTACTTTTACACTGCTTCGTAGGTAAAAACAATACGCGCAAAATAATGTTTACAACGCCATCTCTTATCTATGGGTGAAACTAGGGATAGGCCTAGAGCAGTGATTCTCAACCACTGTTCCGCGGCATTTTTGTGTGCCGCCAAATTTCAAAAGTGTGCCGCTAAATTTTGGGAATATATAATAATGTTAATATTATTAAATTATATCATTTTAAAAGAAAAATATTTTAAACATGAATATATATTTAAATCCACATAAAAAAAACTATAGTATATTTTAGTTTATTTCGTATATTACATTTTTTTGATAAACTATTTATGCAGTGTGTTGTAGTAAGTACTTTTTTTTTTTTTTTTGTGTGCCGCCAAATTTTGAAATCGTTAAATATGTGCCGCAACAAAAAACGGTTGAGAGTCACTGGCCTAGAGGGAGAGTGATAGGGAGAGGCCGGTTTTGCATAAAAATTTAGTAAGTTTTAAATGAATTGCAATTTATAAGCACGAATAAGAAAAATTGTGGGTTAGGTCATAGACGTATGTTTGTTTGTAACGGAATCTTTGAACATGATTTTGACCCCCTTCAAAACGTCGGATTAACTCGAAATTTGGTATACTTATTAAGGACCGATGACAATTAAATATGAAAAAAAAAATTGAATTTTAAAAAAAAAAAATTGAAATTCAACTAAAAAATGAAAAATAAATAATAGTTTTAAAAAATCAACAAAATACGCTTTTATAGAAAATCCAACTAAAAAATAGAAATTAAATTCTAATAAACTTGAATTAAAAATAGTGTAAGAAAAAAAGATTTTATTGTAAAAAAAGCGTGGGGTGCATGGCATCAGTAGTTATAAATATTTTATGAACAGATATGAGTAGAAGGGTTATTATTTCAATAATATCTTAAAAAACACCCCACGCTTTTGCACTGCACTACTTAGTTCGCTCTGGTTCGCTGTGTGTAGCTGCTCATAGCGCTCGTTAAGCAACATTATTACTACTTACGTTTAGCACAACCATTAGCGACTCCCAGCGGCACCGGGTGTTTATGGTCACATTGGCAAGTCGAAGTGGCCGGGTCGCAGAACACGTGGACCAGCTTCGGGTTACAAGTGAATTCACACGGGGAGCCCAAATATCGGCCCTTTTCTGAAACAAAAAGGTAATAATTAAACTAGAAGGTGTTCTATGACCGCGCTCTGCTGTGGGAATGTCGCTCTGTGGGAAATACGTTAAATTAATTGAAGTTGCAAGACCTTTGATGATTTACTAAGTTGTATTGAGACGGCTGTTTTCCCTTATTTTTACGTTGGGGAATCCAGTTTACGGATGCGACCAGTTTCCCAACGGGATCCGGCCGGATTGTCGGACTTAAAGACGATTACCAAATTAAACCCCACCGATGACTCCGCTGTGCGACCCCCGCCCGAGACGGATCAGGATAGGGTCACGGTAGACAGGGGGATCACACAGTCAACACTAAAACCAGACGCGAGGTTCCCCCCAGGAAGTCTGGCAATGGAATGCCGGTTACACAGCCGCCTTATGAGTCTACACGGGTACCACCACTCTGCCTAATTCTGCCGCGAAGCAGTCATCCGTTCCGGTTTTCAGGATGGGACAGCCGTTTTACTATACAATTGACATCGTAATCATGTCTCTTGGTGACTAGCTGTTTTTACGCAATGTCTATGGACTTCTGTAGTCGCTTAATGGTGGGCCCTGAGCTAGTTCATCCATTTAGGCAATCTATATATATATATAAATGAATTGCTGCTCGTTAGTCTCGCTAAAACTCGAGAACGGCTTAACCGATTTTGCTAATTTTGGTCTTGAATTATTTGTGGAAGTCCAGAGAAGGTTTAAAAGGTAGATAAATATGAAAATGTTCGGAATTGAATAAAAAAACAATTTTGTTTTTCCTTTCATATGTCCCTCGTCGGACGTATTCCTTTTGTTTGTTTAAGTTTATTTTATACAAAAGTTTAGGTCTTTTATTTATCGATTGAGGCACTACGAAGTCTGCCGGCTCAGCTAGTAAATAAATAAAAATATACATAAAAACAGATTTGTAGCCATAGCACATAGCCATAGCACATATTGGCATGTGCTATGGCACATAGCCATAGCACATATTGATGTAGCCAGTTTTATGTTCATCGCGCAAAGCGCAATACTACGCGGTCGTCAGTGTTCACGTGCGCGTTTGAGTACGACGAAGATTCGACGAGCGAACTAGCACTTACACGTAGCCCACTGAGTTTCTAGTCGGATATTCTCAGTGGGTCGCGATTCCGATTCGGTGGTAGATTTTGTGAAGCACTGTTTTTTTTCCCTACTTATTCGCTGGTGGCCTAAGGGGCTATTCTAGCTATGCCCGGACTGGTAGGTGAGCTCTCGGACTTAACCTGCGAGAATTTGCTAACACTAGCACTAGCAAGAGCAGTGCTTCGTAGAATCTACCACCGGATCGGAATCGCGACCCACTGAGAAGATCCGGCGAGAAACTCAGTGGGCTGTGTCTATGGGTTAGTTCGCTCATCGAACTCTTCGTCGTAATCGGCGAGTTCGACGAGGATGGTGACCGGTGTTTGAAAGACCTAAAAGCACTAGCACTGCTTTTGCTAGGACTTTGCTAGGATCTGCTCTCAACACCTGCAGATCGTTGTGCCTCACATACCCCGCGGCCCCCTAGGCGCGGGGACCTCGTAGGAGGTTCGGCCCCCGGCCCGAAAAAAAAAAAGAAAGCTCCTTAGGTTACCCCAACGGTTAGGTAGACAAGAACAAATTCACGCGTAGGTACTCTTCAAATTGTAACCGTCCGTCTTAAGACGTGGATCAGGCCTTCGAATGCACCTTGGTCCGTAACATAATCGATGAGATAGTTTTCATCGACCGCCAGATTACAATTGTCGACCTCTCGTTTATAAATAGCCGACAATGCGGTTGGATCGAGCAGCCTTCACCTCTAAACAAACATCGATTTGTATTCGAATAATACTTTTTGACAGCACGGCGAGCCTCTACGCTCTATGGATTCTTTTTACTATAAAAGTGGGAAGGTCTATGTAAGTTGTTTTATGATCACAGACGCTAGAATAAATTAGTGATTACGAAAAGAATAAAAACGCTTTTTAGCAATATTGAGATATCGTGTAATTAAAATTGTTTTTTTTTTATTGCTTAGATGGGTGGACGAGCTCACGGCTCACCTGGTGTTAAGTGGTTACTGGAGCCCATAGACATCTACAACGTAAATGCGCCACCCACCTTGAGATATAAGTTCTAAGGTCTCAAGTATAGTTACAACGGCTGCCCCGCCCTTCAAACCGAAACGCATTACTGCTTCACGGCAGAAATAGGCAAGGTGGTAGGTAGTACCTACCCGCGCGGAGTCACAAGAGGTCCTACCACCAGTAAAAATCTGCAACAATTCTAGTTTCCGTATCTAGTGGTGGTAGGGCGTCTTGTAAGCCTGCAAAGGTAGGTACCACCACTCTGCCTATTTCTGTCGGGAAGCAGTCGTGCGTTTCGGTTTGAAGGTTGGGGCAGCAGTTATTCCATCAAACTGAGACTTAGAACTCATATCTCAAGGTGGGTGGCATCATATACGTTGTTGATGTCTATGGACTCCCTTAAACACTTGACATCAGGCCGTGACCTCATTTCTGGTCTAAGCAATAAAAAAGATTTTAATCAGATAAGTTCATGGATGAGTCACATCGGAACCCGTGCACGTCTCATTCCGAATATCGCTACCCATCCTGAACCTCGAGTTCGAAGCGTTAATTTCGCACTAATTCGCGGCAGAAACCGCCGCAATTGTACCTCTCTGTTCGAACTCACAATACGCCTCACCACTAGTCCTGAGAACGTTTTCACATCGGTGTGTTAGTCCGAGTTTTTTAACGTCCTCGATAGCGTAAAAGTTATCTCAAATTTGTATGCAATCGGAACAGCGTCCCTAGCGGCAAAGGTAGGCAAAAATTTCGGCTCCTTACAATTTTGAGTTAACTATTACGCTTTCAAGTACGTTAAAAAACTAGCACTAAGCACACCATTATGTCCCATTGATCTATTTACACTAGTAGTTAGCGCAGAAATATGATGATAGTAAGTAGCACGATACATAACTACAATAGCTCGACTCGCAGACCGGCACGTAGCTTAGTGACAAAAGTGGAACAAACAACTCAAGTTTCTGACATTTTAAAACGCCTCCTTTTGTAATACTATACGTTTGAGGCTGGGCGTTAGTTGTATACTTTCTAGGCTATAAAATAACAAACGCTTTTAGTTCTCTAACGATGTAACTTTTGTTTTCGAAATCATATTCCGGTACGGCAATTAGTCTTTTGGCTGTCGGCGATGTTTGGAAATAAAACATTTTAGGTAAGTTCTTAAAAACTTTTCGAGTTTCTGAATATCATTAGAATTACGTACGTGTAGAAAACAGTGTTCTCGACCTCCTCTCGATCCATTAACGTTGCTTTTAGGTACCTCAAGTACCGGTCACCGTCCTCGCCGAACCCGTCGCTTGCGACGAAGGGCTCGAAGAGTAAATTCACCCATAGACACAGCCTACTGAATTTATCGCCGGATCTTTTCAGTGGGTCGCGTTTCCGATTCGGTGGTAGATTCTACGAAGCACTGCTCTTGCTAGGGCCCGTTTTAGCAACACTCCCGATTTGAGTCCCGTGAGCGCACCTGCACATCAAGGAGAAGCTGAAATAGCCTCTCAAGGCTATCAGCATAGGTAGGAAAAAAAATGTTCTTGAATGTCCGCGATTGGCAGCTCGTTAATTGCTGGATTAATTCCGAAGACTTTTCTTTTGATCGATGGGATATAAAACAAAACTCATATTCCTAAATTTTCAAAAATTAGATCGACATAGAAGATAATTTAAATGTACATCGGCCATTTTAGGCCAACTACAAGACCTAAAACTGGTAATTCGAATTAAAATTAGTAGCACAGTTCTCCTTTTGTTTCTATTCATAGACGCCATATGCTCTATAATGCATTTGAAGTATCTAGTCGGTTAAAATCGATCAAGACATTTAGGTTATACATTAGGTCAATGTTTTCAAAAGTAGTAGATGCAAAGCTGTTAGTTGTTATATTGCTAACCGCAATGAAAAGGCGCTTCTTTTTTTTCTAAAGGTACTATTTTAAAGTATAGTGTTTTATAGTTCACTAAGTTTCTCCCCGGATACTTTCAATTTGTCGCGATTACGATCAAGTGGTAGATTCTGCGAAGCACTGCTCTTGCTAGGGCTAGCATTAGCAAATTCTCTCAGGTTGAGCCGTGAGCTCACCTACCCGTCCTGACGCTGCTGGAATAGCCTCTTAGGCTACCAGCGAATAGGTAGGGAATAAAAATTGCAGTAACGTCACAACTCACGGGCCTAGAGGTAAATCCGTCACTGGCTGTCACACACCTTAATACATGGTCGATGTCTCCACAGTACTGTATAATGGATGTATCGCTGTTCAGATCTTCTTCTTCTTAGTTATTGCTGAAGTTCGTGTCCCTGAAAGCCCTTCGTGGCTCTTTGTACCATCAGAACATAATTAAAACTCCTCTCCTCCTCCTCCTTGCGTCGATAATCCTCAGTGCTGAGGGTCGTGGCCTCCTCTAATAACTTTCTCCTGCATTATCTTGCGCCATTCCTGCCTGTCCTCGGCTGTGTGGATAGCAACGTGGACTGAGGTAGCATATTTCACCCCAGCCGGCCCGGGTACCGGATGGCGCCGGGTGTCAATCGGATCGTCCGACGTCACTTGATCTATAGTCTGTATATTAAATGAAGCTTTAAAATTAAAACTCCATTTACGGCTTAATCTTTCTGTTCACGCCTTCACTGACGTCAAACACGTCCGTGACCACGAAAACTTTAAAGTAATATAAATCACGGAAATAATGTAATGAAAATAAGAAATGATGTAATGAAAATAATAAATTTTAAAAGTAGCTTTAAGTTATATCGCAAGTCAGCCATTTAATTAAAAATGACGTGTTAAAATTACAAAGATCTCGTCGTGAAAAGGAAACGCGGAGAGCGCGTAGCTTTTTCAAGCCTTTACAACTGAAAGTGATATTGGCACGAATTTTCAAGTTGATTCCGAAAAACGTATAGCGTATGGG